TACCCTTCCTATCCTGGGTGTCTGTTCATCACTGTGGAATAAAGGAAAAGACAGACGATGCCAAATACCTACACACATGGTCAGTATACAGATGCAATTAAAAATAAGTAAGGAAAATATAAAAAAAAAAAAAACAACCTTCTGGACCCTCTGAACCTCAGCCTCTATATAAGATTTGCGTCTGCAACATCTTCACCATCTCATTCCAACACACCATCTTCACCATCTCATTCCAACACCTTCGGCAGCTCTACATCACATTATAATATTAACTACATTCAGTGTACATATCCGTGTGAAGGAAGACAGAAGAGGTTAGTTTGAAGTACAGTTCATATTCTTGATAGGATGAGAGCTGAGTTGTAGGGAGGCGAATTGCAGGCGAAGAACTACCACCAGGGACAACCGGCCGGTCATCCCGCCAGTCAACCGCCCAGTAATCCGGTTCAGCCACCAATTCGCCCTCTGCACCCAATTTCGCTATCTGTTGCTTATCTATTCCTTTTTTTGCACCAACATTGTACATTTTTCATACATTTTTCTTAACTTCACACCAACATCATACATTTTACTATGCATTTTTCATACTTTTTTCTTAACTTTTGCAATCATCATACTGAGAACAAAAAAAGCGAGACCCGAACGTAGTGAAACCTCTAACCCAGTACAACGTGAACCACAGCAACAACATCATGACTATCCAACTGATAATTTTCTCACATATAATCATGAACAAGCCTATTCAAATTTCGCTAATCGACCAATTGTTACGGAGAGAAAGGTAAATCTACCTTCTCAATATAATCCATTGTTGCTTAGCAGATTGGATACAATGGGATGGTTACCTTTAACTAATTTACCACATAAGGCATATCCCCGCTAAATAATCAGTCCAGTGTTGGGGTATACCTCATGTGGTGAATTGGTTAAAGGTAACCATCCCATTGTATCCAATCTGCCAAGCAACAATGGATTATATTGAGAAGGTAGATTTACCTTTCTTCCCGTAACAATTGGTTGATTAGCGAAATTTGAATAGGCTTGTTCATGATTATATGTGAGAAAATTATCAGTTGGATAGTCATGATGTTGTTGCTGTGGTTCACGTTGTACAGGGTTAGAGGTTTCACCACGTTCGGGTCTCGCTTTTTTTGTTCTCAGTATGATGATTGCAAAAGTTAAGAAAAAAGTATGAAAAATGTATAGTAACATGTATGATGTTGGTGTGAAGTTAAGAAAAATGTATGAAAAATGTATAATGTTGGTGCAAAAAAAGGAACAGATAAGCAACAGATAGCGAAATTGGATGCGGAGGGCGAACTGGTGGCTAAACCGGATTACTGGGCAGCTGACTGGCGGGATGACCGGCCGGTTGTCCCTGGTGGCAGTTCTTCGCCTGCAATTCGCCTCCCTACAACTCAGCTCTCATCCTATCAAGAATATGAACTGTACTTCAAACTAACCTCTTCTCTCTTCCTTCACACGGATATGTACACTGAATGTAGTTAATATTATAATGTGATGTACAACTGCCGAAGGTGTTGGAATGAGATGGTGAAGATGATGTGTTGGAATGGGATGGTGAAGATGGTGCAGATGCAAATCTTATATAGAGGCTGAGGTTCAGAGGGTCCAGAAGGTTGTTTTTTTTATATTTTCCTTACTTATTTTTAATTGCATCTGTATACTGACCATGTGTGTAGGTTTTTGGCATCGTTTGTCTTTTCCTTTATTCCACAATGATGAACAGACACCCAAGATAAGAGGGGTAGGTGTATTGGATAAGTGAAATTACAATATTATCCTTTTCATTTTGTTCTTACATAACAACCTGCCATTCAAATCAAGAGGGGCAAATTGGTCATTTCATACACAAATATCACGCCCCCCAATTATATGACCTTCACTTCACGGGTGGGTGACATTCAAAGTACAATAATGCATGCATAAAAAGAAACGAGTTTTTTATTAAATTAATAAAATGTAATAAATGGAAAAGTAATGAAAATGTTTGGTAACGTATACGTTTTAATTTGTATTTAAAAATATTAAACACACTGATTTATGTTATTTGTTATTAGTATGTATTCTCCAAAGTTATTGACTTCAACAAAATTTTAAAAAAAATTAAAAACGTATTGTATAAAATGTTTGCACAGGCCTAAAAAATGAATTAACAAAAAAATTAATTGACACAAAATAATTGATATAGAAGTTATTTAAAAAAAATTATTTGACAAAAAAAATTATTCAAAAAAACTACTTAAAAACATTTAATTGAAAAAAAAAATCATTTTTTAATTTGAGTATTTGAAAAATAATTTGGTTATGACTGTTGATAAAAAATACGGATATCGATATATGAGTTGTGTGTTTGATTATCAATTAAAGGTTGAATTAAGTTCTGAAAACTATTTTGAAAACTCATCACCAAACAAATTTTTTTATTTCACATGTCACATCAAACTCTCAAAACTCAATTTCACATACAATTCAAAACACAATTCAACACTCTATTTAAAAATCATAACCAAACAAATTTTCTACACTCAAATCATAATTTCACAACTCACAAACTCAAAATACAACTCATACTCTCAAATCATATTTACAAAACTCTACCAAACGCAACCATATATTTCGTAACCATTATTTATATCAATAGGTACGATTTGAAGTGGACTATGGCCCCGTTTGGTAGAGCTGTGGAAAAATGATTATAACTTATAACTTAACAGCTTATAATTATGAATATAAATTGATTTTTGACTTATAAATTAAGTTTCTCCTCCCCCACTCAAAGAATAAGTTGATTTTTGACTTACAAAAAGCTATAAGCTGTATTGTTAAGCTGAACCAAACACATCAAAATAGCTTAAATTAAGTTAAAAACTTAAATAAACTGAAAATAAGCCCTACCAAACAGGATCTATATAGGTTATAACCAGAAAACAACAACAAAAAAAAGAAAAAGAAAAAGAAAACAAAGTGTACAATCCTACAAGCATGAGTTGGAAAAGAATAATAATTATTTGATGTATCAGTATTGAAGGAATTTATTATACCAATATTTATATAAAAATATAATAAATATAATCTTTCTAATTGAAAAAAATATGAGGTGTGGAGAAGGTACCACGTGACAATTAAGGTATTCTTAATAAATATACTTATTTAAGTCACTTTATTTATTTATTTTTTTTGTATATTTTTTTGTGAAAAGTCAAAAATATATTGGTTGTTTGGAATGTCCTAAATAAGTGCATTTTTTGACTTTTTGAACTAAAAAGTTGAGGAAAAAAATATGGTTGTTTGAGTTAACTTTTTGACTTTTTATGGAGAAATGTGTATTAAAAAATTGTATAAATTAGTGTGTAGAGGAAAATTGGGATTGAGAGTTGTGCAGCCGTAATTTTTGACTTTTGGTGAATAGTGGTAACTTTTTAACTTTTTGAGTAACTTTTTGATTTTTTTTTTTTTTTTTCAACTTGCCAAACTTGGCCTTAATTCGCTTTTTATCCATAGGAAGAGGAGCTCAAGTTGGGGCAGATCAAATCTTCAGTAAGCCTTCGTGTGTTTTGTTCATTCAATTATAAATAATTGTTGGTAATATTATTTTTTAAATGATAACATAAATATAATAAATTTTAAGAAAAATTACAACAAAAAAAAAAACTAAGAAGAATTTGAGCTTTTTTATATGAATCCTGAGTTTTAAATTTTATCAATTTAAATGATAATATTTTGATTTGTTTTCAATCTAAACCACTTGACTATTTTTTTAAGTAAAACTGATGAAAATTTTGTATTTTAATCATTAAAGTCAATGAAAAATAACATTCTAAACATTTTTCGTATACCTATAATGATTAAAATAAATATTTTTCTATCAATTTTACTTTTGATAAAAATAGATAAATAGTTTAAATTAAAAATAAATCAAAAGATCGAGATTTAAATTAATAAAATTACAAATTTAATATTTATTTTCTTATGAGGTTCAAATCCGTAATTTCTTCTAAATTTTATTTTGTAAACTTATCATGATGGAGAAAGACAGCACCTTTGATTAAGATCATCAATAATTGCCACCCAAGTTGGCTACCGATGACACTTTTGTTTGTATTTTGGATATTTCTTTGAGGTTTGGTTGTCGATTGATGATGATGTTTAATTTTATATGGATGTTGTGTATGATTGACTCTATTGTTTTCATTTCTATTTATTTTTTATTTTTTATGAAACTGACTCCTATTATTGGGAACAGCTTGATGTTTACAAATACAAATTCTCTACCTCTTCTTCTCAGTTCCTATAAACCTTTGCACCTTGCATTAGATTTTTCATCTTTCAGAATTTTTTCTTCTTTGGTGTGTTTCATTTTCATTTTATTTTTCTAAGTTCTGAGTTTGATTAATTATGGTGTTTTGTCGGTCTTAAATTCTTGATTAATACAAGTGACTTACAGTATTTAAAATTTAATCTACAAGGGTTGATCTAAGGTGGCCCTACCTCCAGAAAATTCAACATAAAAATAAATAATAATAATGAAATATTATCAAGATCTATGCTATTGAGCAAATTTATATATGTATTTGAAAATAAAAAGATCATGGCATAAAATTCTGCATGAAACTTCTTAAGTAGATATTTCAATAGCATAGTCTTCAAATCATGCATGTTCTTAATGCATAATAACCATCAAAATGACTGCATTTCAGAATTAAATTCAATGAATTTAATTGAATTACAAAACTAGTTTGCACAGACAACATCAAAAGTCGCATATGCACATATTTTTCGTCTTTTTATGTGTTTAATTTCGCAAAACAAAAAACAAGATTGGTTTCTCTGACTACCAACAACAAGAAGGAAAATCTCGAAGTAGATATTTCAATAGCATAGTCTTCAAATCATGCATGTTCTTAATGCATAATAACCATCAAAATGACTGCATTTCAGAATTAAATTCAATGAATTTAATTGAATTACAAAACTAGTTTGCACAGACAACATCAAAAGTCGCATATGCACATATTTTTAGTCTTTTTATGTGTTTAATTTCGCAAAACAAAAAACAAGATTGGTTTCTCTGACTACCAACAACAACAAGAAGAAGGAAAATCTCGAAGAAAAAAAAAAAAGAGAAGAAAAAAATTGAGAATATCATCTTAATGAAATCTGGATTTCTTCCAGAGTCCTTCCCTTTGTCTCAGGCACCCACAGATACACAAATACCACAGTGAACGCGGACATAACCATATATATAGTAAATGTTCCTGTCGCAATGGAGGAATACCAGTTAGAAATCAAGACTAGAAACCATAGTAAAAGACTTAAAGAGGGCTTATTTGGTTTAGTTGTCTTTTTGTTTTCTGTTTCTATTTTCAGTTTTTGGAAAAAACATAAAACTTGTTTGATGAACTATTTCTGAAAACTATTAATAAGAAAATTATATGAAAACAACTCTCATTATTAGGAAACACAGAAAAAGTTGTTTTTGAATTTCTAAACTATTTTTGCACAAAAATGAAAAGCAATACGAGAACTATGGGTGTTTTCAAACTTTTCATTGTTTTTGTTTTCTAAAACATGAAAACCAAAAACACAACCAACCAGGCCAATATGTTGAACACTGTCAACTCTATTGCTTCCATATTATTTTTGCTTATATAATTACACTCTGTTTGTATAAATTGTACACTAACCACCTTCTGTGAAATGAGGGCAACACCCACAATACACGTCTGAGCATCTAAGAAGCACATATACTAATAAGAAGCTGTAGGTATCGAACACTAACACTCCTCTGAACATGTCTAGTTATTTTCCTTTAATTTTTTCAAACTCGACATTCTTTGGACATGTGTCCATTGCTTAAACACATATGAAACTAATTATAAGTTTAAACAAAATAACTTCGAATACAATGACAATAGAGAGGGAAAAAAAAGTTATATATATATAGACTTATAGCAATTAGTATTATGTTGCATTATTTATTATGTTTAATATATACAATTTTACATATTTTGTGTGCGTCCCTCATGAGTCGTGTCTTGCATTTTCTTAAAATTGTGGCATCAGTGTGTCGTCATGTTGCACGTTCGTGCTTGTGCTCGTGCTCATGCTTCTTAGGCGTGCATGCACAAATGCTGACATGCATGATATATGATAATTAATGATAGATTGATAGAAAGCAAACCTCCGCTGCTCCAACTTAAAAGCAAGTTTGCAGTCATCGTAACCACCCAGGCAAAAAACCAGTTGGCCAATGTCGCTACACTTCCAGCAAGGCCCTTAATATTGATTGGAAGGATCTGCAATGGCATGATACAGAGGAGAACATAAGAATGAGCCACCGAATTGCTGTAAGCTATACAGGTCAAAGTTTTGTCAAAGTCGTTCACAGGTTAGCAAACTTCACTTTGTTATTGCTTGGTTCGGTAGTGCCAACCACTTAGTTTATGCTTATTGTGTAACAGAGGATATTCAAGAGATGAAACTTTAAGCATTTGTAATGTCACCCCTTTTTATCCAGATACAGTCATGATAGGTATGAGACTTGAAACTTGTACATGGGATTTCGGAGACAATGAATATGACACAAGCCCAAAACCTTTGTTCGAAAGGTTTGTAAGGACCAAAAACTTTGCCTCTTCCTAAATACTTAGATTAAACTTTTGAAACAAAAAAAGATTGATAGAAATGGCCAAGAAAGGAGTGAAATATACTTGAAGCTGAAGGCCTGCTCTTTATAAACCATTCATTCCAGTAAGTTTGAAACAGCAAACGTACTGGTTAGCAAAATGTAACATAACACGGGAAATTAAAAATGGTACCTCTGACATTATCACCCACGGAATTGGCCCCATTCCAAGAGAAAATCCAACTATCATGCCCTGGGGAGAAGAAAAAAGTCTGTCAGACAAACCAAGAAAACTTCAATAACAATTTGTTCAACCATTTATTATCTATGCTTGCGTAACTTTAAAAAAGACATACCACAACTCCAACTAGTGATAAGATTCCCAATATGCTATAAAGGGTAGAATCAGACGATATAGAATCCTGATATGAAAAATGGCAGCAAAAAATTAAAGAGGTTACACAGATGAGAAGAAACAAAATCCTTGCCAACTGTGTTACTACCTTTATAAAGAATGAAATTGCAACAACTAGGAGGCTAACAGTCATTGTAGAGGATGAGACCTGCCACAAGGGATCAAACATTTCCCATTTTATTTATGTTAATTGACATAATATAAATAACTTGTCTACAATAATAAATAAAAAGAATATTATTTTGCCCAAACTCACAATGAGTAAAATTCTACGGCCTGTTTTGTCAACCAACCATGTAGCAATTCCAGTGGCAGCAACCTAAATAGTACATAAATTCTTGTTAATGATTTGAGGTGGGATCTTAAGCAATATCAGAATTTGAGTTGGACTAAAGCAAACCATTTGACACTTGATTTTCTTCAGACTATACCTGAATAGCACCAAGTCCAAATGTAGCAACGTTACTTGATGAAATCCCTGTTCAATTTTTAAGGCAACTATTAAAAGCCATGTAGCTTGAAATATGTAAATTTTTCGTCTTGTTAATGATCAGTATAAAGGAGATGGCAGATAATGAATACAGATCGTCTGTCCCCTTCAATGTACCATTCCTCTGTCTCCTTGAATCTTATTGGTTCATAAGATTACTTTTGCTGATATGAACAATCCTATGAACCAATAAGATGTAAGGGGACAGAGAAGGGGGAATAGAAGGGAGTAGATGATCTTCATTCGCAGATAATCAATTTATGCATAACAATTCGTAGCACTTATTACTAATTACTAATTTGACAGTTCTGAGTGGTGAAAAGAAAGCAAGAAAGCAAACAGTGACAAAGATACTTTGGTGACTCTGAAACACCACCTCAAGAAATATCAATGGGTGAGCTGACAAACCAGCTAATACTTACCAGCAGCTGAGAAAATGGTACTGGAATAGAAGAGAACACCATTAGTTCCAGACAACTGTTGCAGGCAAAGCAATCCAATTCCGACCTGCAGGATATCAGGCAACAGAAAACAATTAGGTCTGACGATTTGTCACATTGAAGAGAAAAAGAAAAGAAAACTAAAACTTTAAGACAGCGAGTACTACCATCAGGGGAAACCAATATCTTCTTTGTTTGAGGTCTGAGAAACGGATCGCAGTTCTTCTGCTGGTTGATGCTACAGATCTCTGCACAATGCAAATGCATTCAATGATAACAAGCACGATGCAAATGCAAAATATGAACATACTATTTGCAAAACAAAATAAAAAACAGCGCATCCTACGCTTTTGACCAGAAATTGTTGGTATTAGTTTTTTGAGTTGGTAAATTTTGTATTTGATCAAAAAGATACAAACGGGGACTGAAAGTCAGCAGAAAAAGAATGCAATGATCTTTACCTTGATTTCATTTACTTCAATGGAGATGTCAGTGTCAAACCCTCGGAGCACTTGCAAAGAAGCTTCAAAATCTTCTGTCATTCCCATTTTTGCCTAGATTCAACAAAGAAGTTTTCTTCAGTGACTATAACTAAATATTCAACTATGAACAAGAACACACAATACGTCATGAAGCTTACCAGCCACCTAGGGGATTCTGGAATGAAAAATAGGCCAGGTATCAATATTAGACACGGCAATATTCCTGAAAATAAAATATGGAAATATTGTTAATTTAGAGATATAAATGGTTAAAAATTTGACAGAATATCATTTCAACAGTTCTTTTCTTTTTCTTTTGGAAGACGGTTTAGAACACTGGCATCTAGATTATACTCAATTACATGAAACATTATTTATTTATTTACTTTGTGCTTCTGCAATTACATGAAAGTGAAAATGTGCCAAGGATGGCATAAGGTGGTGAATGGTGCAGGTATTGAGATGGCCAGTTTAGTCATCCATCCAAATCTTTCATTGTACTTTCTGTGGATGGGCACGTCATTCAGTCTACTCTCCAGTTTCACTGATATGAGTGTCCGTAGCCCTCACTCTTGATGTCTCTATTCCTTTGCTGTTGTTTATTTTGCACTTATCATATTTAGAGACAAAATGAAATGCATGCCAACACCAACTTGACCTTGCTGATTTACTAAGTTAGAGTCAATATCAAATATCACTTCTTAGGTATAGTATTTGAGCTTGAACAAGTTTCAGCGGCAATGATTGTTTCATACAAAATCAGGTTGGCGAATCTGTCTTCAATGACCACCACAGGTACCTTCATCATTGCTCCTTTCAGGAAAACTAAATAATATATGATACTGAAAATTTGTAGCCCTAGAAAGAATTAGTTTTGCAATTCCAAACAACAAATCAACATCCTTCTAATTGGTTGTTATGCTCAAGTTGGATACCGATTTGGGAAAATCAATTTCTCATCACTTATCAAGGTATCAGTGAAGATTGTATTCATCATGAAATCAAAATGAAAGCAACAGAATTATATCAATAGTTGATGAAACACTTTGTAAGTGAGTTAGAGGATTACCCAGAACTGCAAGTATTCTCCAATTAACAAAAAGTCCCAGCAAATAAGCCAGCATTATTCCAATTGTGACAGACAGCTAAACACCCAAAAAAAATTATTAAAATTAATAGATTTGAAAGATTTGCTGAGTATGATGACAATAAATAACAGCTCAATATAAATATAAAAAATATATATATTCATTTACAGAAGCCAACCTGGTTAACTGAACCTAATCCCCCTCTCAAGTTTTGAGGCGCTATCTCAGCTATATATACGGGAACCTAAGGTTAAGAAAAAGACAAATTAAATCAATATTAGGCTATTTTACCACACAATTGTGTCACGGAACAATGACACGAAAGTTTAATACTTACTGTGTAAGAGATTATACCCACACCAAAGCCTTCCAACAACCTTCCCATATAGAGAAAAGAAGAATCCTAAGCAAAACAAGAAGCAAGACAATAACTTGAGATTCATAATGACATTTTATGCACAACTATGGAAGTTCCAATTTACTAAATTATCCGGAGAAGAACTCACTTTAGCAAATGAAATGGCAAGCCAACCAAGGATATTTGGGATGGCTGCGATCATCAACGACTGCAATTTAACAGGATAGAGCAAGAATCACTTTCGCAAAACAAATCAAGACAATAACAACATGTAATTAATGAAATTCTAGCAAACCAATAGAACAATCATACCCCTTTTCGCCCCATATACTCAGCAATCTGACCGCTAGCTATTGCCCCAACCATTGCACCCACATTTGATAAAGAACCAAATAAAGAGAACTGAGCCAGAAACTAGGGTTAGCAACCATATTGAAATAAACCCATATCAAATCAAAGCAGTAAACATTTATTCATTGATTCAAACCTCTGATACTGTAAGTCCAAGCTCGTCAGTGATGGCAGTTTGTGTTGGTGAAGAATAACCAGCCTGAAAGTAGATCAAAATCACTCAGAAGATGCAATAATATCGAACTCACTCTGTTTTGATTGCCAAGAAAACTGAGGAAAACAGAGAGAATTTGAAATTGTGTTTAATTTTTGTTTTTGGGTTCTAAAGGGGGGACAAATTATGAAGTCTCAAATCTTAGAGTTACTCTTTTGCTTTGATGGGTTTCAAGATTTCAATCAATGCTTCCGATTTCTTGGCAACCAAACAAGAATCAAAGAAGAAAGAGAAAGATTAAACAGTTGGGTCTTACAGTGAAACCGAACTGGATAGGACCCAAAGCAACGATGAGAACACAGGCGAGAACAGAGATAGACCTGTCACGAATCGCCTGAGACGAACTCATCATACTCGACTGTCTCGAACCCATTCTGTACCAACTACCCGTATGAAGAAATGGCTTCTTCAGATCTCTCCCATCGTCACTCTCTTCTCTGAAACTCATATTGTCTTCTCTCTTTCTCCGATCCCTCTCTCTGTCTCTCTCTCTCTCTCTCTCTCTCTCTCTTGAATTGCACAAGTCAAAGATCAAACAGAAGTGAGAGTCAATAAAGTTCAATGTTCTCAAACCATACCCAGTTTGTGGTATCGATCAGTGTCGAATTGCCAATGAGAGATAGCAAGAAAGAATCTGTGAGAGAGAGATATAGAGACAAGTGGAGAGGATGATGATGGATATATCTGGAGATGAACGAGAACTGTGACCAAGCTAAGGTAGCCACCGACTGGTAGAGCCATAAAATTGATAAATTATTGCTAAAAATTTTTGTAATAAATCCGTATAATTTACAAAGTTGTGTCAAATTTTAGCACTATAAAGTCACCTCGCTTGTTTTCTCCTTTCAGAAAATATTTTTCAAAAAATTTTGGGTATGTTTGGTTTGTGTTTGAGAGATGTGTTTTAGAGATAAAAAGTACAAAAAATTGTTTGGTTTGGTTTTTTTCAAGCGTTGAAGGCTAGCTACATGTAGCTAGTGAATATGAGTTGAGCCAAAATGCCTAATCATATGCCTAGTGTATTGGAATTGAAAAAAGTGAATCACACTAAAATGCCTAGTGCATTGGAGATGCTCACTGACTGGTAGAGCCATAAAATTGATAAATTATTGCTAAAAATTTTTGTAATAAATCCGTATAATTTACAAAGTTATGTCAAATTTTAGCACTATAAAGTCACCTCGCTTGTTTTCTCCTTTCAGAAAATACTTTTTAAAAAATTTTATTTTTTTATTTTTTTTATTTTTTTATTTTTATTGAAATTTTTTAATATTTTAAATAATTTTTTTATTTTTTAGACACACTTAACATAAATACACTTAAAAAGTAAAAAAAATTATAAAAAAAATCTTTTAAAAATTTACTAAATACCAAATATATAAAAAAAATACAAGAATTCAATACATTTTTTTTATATTTCTATGTATTTATTAATTTTTTAAAATATTTTTTTACAATTTTTTTTACTTTTTAGATACATCTAACTAAGATGCATCTAAAAAAGTAAAAAAAAAAAA